CTGAAGGTGACAAAAGTTTGTTGCTGGGTTGCCTAGTAGGATGTACTAACTACCAAGGCAAGGAGGCTTCGATTCTACAAACAGATCAAAGAAAATCCCCACCCACATAATATACCTATAAATGCACTTTCAAAACAACCCGATGTGCTTTGGTGGTAGGCCCCAGATCTACAAACCATTTGAATATACATTCATGAATAGCAAAAAAATCACGATGAAGACTTAACACCTTTCTATTTCTTAATGAATCATGGCTCAATTGAAAAGACTGGTAAGAAAACTTGTGTCCCAGTAAAGCTTTCAGAAGGGTTAACCCTTGCCCCTCAGTGGGACAGCTTGACCAGCAACCTGTTAATAAAAAAGAGCTTAGCTTTCTCTTGATAACCTTTGATGATGTTCTAGTTTGAAATATTCGATCATATTTAATCAACTAATTAACACTTGTCAATGGCTGATAACTTAAGTTCACTTAAAATATCATATGTCTCCTATTTTCAAACCAGAAGGTACTAATATCCCTAATCATTGGGACAGTAACCTGATTTAAAAGTTATCTTTCCACACAAAACAGCAAACGAAAATCCTGTACTGATTGTTAATTGTTTTTTGCTGCTGGCAATGTTGGTTCCTCCTGTTTGCTAACATATAGATCTGAAGGACATTATCTTCAAAGTCAATGTTTAAGCACCTGAACTGTGGGGAAAGATGGCAGGATAAATGAATGCTCCTGTAAGTGCTCTTGTCCTCCAACACACACATCCAGAAGTTGAACAAGAAGTTGTCCATAACGAAACTAGTAAAAGCTACAGCCCCATACCATGGACTCCACAGCAGTGCCTGACAGATATGACCAAGTAGGGGACAATTCAAAAAAGGACTCTTGCATTTGCCATGCCTTTCTCCTCATCTCCAGCAGGCCACAATTACTGGGCAGTTACTTAGCAGGTCCCTAAGAACTCTACTGATCATTTCTTGGTGAAACAGGGACTGGCAGCAGTCAGGAGAAGCGGATTGTACTCTGTGTGTTTCCAGACATAAAAACTAGGAGGGAAGGCTGAGATCTCAGATGCACCATTTGTGTTCATCCCCTTCGGCATCTTAATGAGGAAGAGTGGCAGGAAAGCAGGGACAGAGGAGAGAAACAATAATTCAGGAGCCCATCACACAAATGTACACTACTTATAATCCAGCAGAGCAGAAGGACGAACCCACCACACTCCTGCTAGGGTGACAACTAGTGGGAATGGGGAATCCCTGTCTCTCAATGGGACCCGGCCACCCCCAGGCCAAAGGAGACAACAGCATCCACGGAAGGCACTCAAAGACAATACATCCCAAGAGGTTTTGTGGTCATTCCTTATTCCCTCACATCCAAACAGCAGAATGAAAAACAAAAACTCCTTCCACCATTACAACCCATCAATAGTTAGCCTTACAGTCCAAGCACTAATGTGATCATTCAAACACTTCTTACTTTAAAAAGGGGGCATGAAGGAGTATTTACCTATACTCTTCTTGAACAAACAGAACTGGTACCATGTAAAGACAAGTAATAAGCAGAAAGGGTCATCATGATACCTGTGCAACAAAATAAAAGTAAAACAATATAAGAAAAGGAATGAAAGGAACAAAAGCCAGATAAATACATCCCTGAGAAAGAATGAGTTCAGAAACCACACACATTGTAGACAAAACAGTTCAGCCTTTGAAGAAATGAAATAGGGAATAGAAGAGGATGACACAATAAGCTAAGGAAACAAACAGATTTTTTTAAAAACTGTAACAGAAGTAAAAGGCATTATTACATGCAACAAGGCCTAGAACCAACAGTACAGAAAATGAGTCAAGTCAGTGAAATGGAGGATGAGACTTGAGAAAAAAAATCCCACAGCACGAAAAAAGATAAGGAGATGAAAGCCATCTAAGAAAGCTAAACATGAACAACAGATAACAGAGAGCCAACATAAGGACACATTCTTGAAGAAGAGAATAAACCCATACAAAATGCAGCAAGGTCTGAAATGACAATATCCAATGTTCACTGCATCAGAAAAAGCCAATAGACAACAGTCAATCCTGGGAGCTACTGAATTTCAAGGTTAAACTAAGAAACACAAATATCCATGACAAACAAGCAGGTCATCTACAAAAGGAGAAGAAAAATCCATCTGGACTTAGACCTCTCAGCATTACCAGATATAAACGACAATAAGTCACAAACGATAATTACATAACTTCTCCAAAGAATTGAGGGAAAAAAAGTGATCCAAGAACCTGATAGCCAGCCAAGTCAATTGTTTATAAGTAATGGCAACAGAAATACATTTGTAAATATGCAAGGAAATCTAACTGAAGCTGTAATCCAGTTCGCCAAAAGATAAAAGCATCAACTGTCGAATGTGGAGTCTTTGTATGAAAGGGCTGGCAATGAGCACTGAATTCATTCAAACATAGAATTAAGTCTAACTAACTCTAGTAATTACCTACAGTTATACACTTTTAGTTGTCTGTCTTTCTAGGTAAAAGCTGCCAAATTCATCTGATTATCTCTTCTAACTATGCCAGAATGGAAACACACAAAAGAAAATGTCTCCTGAACGGAATTACCTTGCACTATAAAAATTCTGGGTTCAGAGCTTACCCTTGAGGATAAGTACATCCAAGAAATTCCTCAAGAGAGACAATGCTAATTACCTGGTGTACTGTTCAGAGCACTAGCCTAGGAATAAGGAGACCCAACTGCTCACTTTGGTTCTTCCATTCAATTACCATGCCACTTTGGTAAACTACTTAACTGCTTTGGGATTCATATGAAAAATCATGATATAGCTGCAGGGTCCACCTCATGGCATCGTAGGAATCAAATAGGATGCTGTATGTACAAGTTCTTGGGTCCTATCAGCAAGGCTGTAAAGCCACACCACTATTAGGATGAAAAGAAACTCTGTATTAAGGAGCCCAAATCAGATCTTCAGAAACAAAGAAAGGATCAGATGGCTCCTGTGGATCCATCCCTACTTCCTTCATTTCTCCACATCTTCAAGGTATCTCTTAGCACTATAAAATGGGAATTCAGGACTTCCACAGCTCCTGACCTGAATTATTTTTAATTTGGAGACGAGAATGGTTTAAGAACTTAGAAATGTGTTACCCCACCCCCAAGGTAAATGTCGGCCAGTTTTCATTCTTTGATTCAACTAATATTTGTTAATGTGTTAATAACTATTATTTAGTATTAACATTATTTATTAATATTAGTACTTATTAAGCACCTACTATGTGTCAGGCACTATTTTAAATAGTGGACACTATCCCCAAATACTTAAAATAAAATAGAGTTAATGAGAGGACAATATTGAGGAATGGGAAAGAATTGAGTTGAAAAAGGGTCCATGTCTATTTATGTTCCAACCTATTTGTAGAAATCTGACCATTCACTTATAGACAAACCCAGAAAACAGCTGCAGGGGTGTGCCTACATTCAGAGAATCGGGTACAGGCAACAAAAAGGATAAATGAACACTTGGGTGGAGGGGCTGATGAGCTGTGAGAATGCAAAGTGTTCCTGAAACTCTTCTTGTGGTGGCTTTAGAAGAACAGGCAAATCCTTAATGAAGAAAATCAAGACAGGAGAAACAAGGTGGTTCTGGGGTCAGATGAATATGAATAAGGCAAGAATATGAGTAAAGGACCACTGATTAAGTCATTAAAACATTGAGATAAATGTTTACTTTTGAAAAAGACTTGTAAAGGGAAAAATATGATAGCATTTTTCCATATTCAGCCCTGACTTGGTGCTGCTTGTGAGGGTGTGGCCATCAATGGGCATTCCTTAAGCAATAAAAAACCCTGCTAGGACAAGAGAGTGGGTAGCATGGCCCTAATCTGTCACCTCCTTTCTCCCACAGTGCAAAAGAGTGTGGATGGAAATTGAGGCCTAGGAAGATACTGATATACTCTCTCATGTTCATAAGGAAGTTAGGATCTTTACATATGAAGGACCATTATTTTTACACCACATGAAAATCATATGGAACAGCCCCATCCCCAAGACACTGACTCGGTCCTCAAACCAACAGCCTTCATATGGCTCGTCTGTCACCTGTCTCTCGGAAATACACTGGTATTTCTTTTACCTGACTGATGAGTTCCCTGATGATATCCTTCTAAGTACGGAAGAGATCTTTCTAAAGATGAAGGGAATTACCATGAGCTCAGGTAATATAAAAAAATGAAAGAAAATCAGATTCAGTGGAACTGAGACAAACAGGGATTCAATCAAGCCACATGCAGCTGGTCAGAGTGCAACTCCTCTCAGGAAAAATCCTCCACTGTGGTGGCACTGGGGACAACTGCATCTATATTATCATATGACTAAAGGAGGAGAATGGCTTATAAGTTAAAACTTCTAAATTAGTGAACTCAACACTTAAAAATTGGACCAACACATTTATAAGAACATTAAAAGAGGGCAGAAGTCAGAGTAGATGGTATATATTAAAAAACTGTTATGAAGATAAACAGATAATCCTGTGTGGAGCTGTATACGATGCTGGTTTTAATCTGGACTCTCAGATCGCTTCTATTTCTAAGGGTAAATATAATATCATTCCTCTTCCCTTACTCAAGTCCTCTAATCCCCATTTCCAGCTTTTAGCAAAAAGTGAAGGATTGTGAAAATTAGAGTAAGCTGACAATTCTAAAACTGGCTAAAATTAATGAAAATGAAAATTATGAAGACCTAGAGCATTTTTCAAAATAAACTAGAAGAACTTTTCCCTTCGCCAATCTATTTTACAACCAGTAAAGTACAGACACCACACAGAAACTTCCTCCTTAGTAGACTACAAAGGAATATAATATGACAAAGGTACAGTATTAGATTGATGAAAGTTTGACAGAAGCATAAAAATGCCACTTCCCACTCTTTACAAACTTGACATTGACCACGAGGCAGTTTTTCACTTAAGATCTTTGAAACCAAGCAGCTAAGTGAAAAATTCCAAGACGACTTTTGGAAGGCTTTAATCAACAGAATGGAAGTATACAAATTAATTTTGAAATAAAATCAAGGCCATCGATGAGGAAGATCTAACACGAAAGTAGCCACACCTCCCAATTGGATGGAAGAAGGCGAAAGTCTAAATCTGATAGTAGAGGAGAGACGCATGGGAAAGAGGAAGGGTCCTGGGACTGAATTATCAAGTCTTCCACCTGATGTCTTCCACCTTCATGGTCCCAGGGCCCCATTTGGAGGTTTGGGACAAATATGGTATTTGGTCACAAGGAGCAACCGTAGGATCTACTGTATCTGGAATGGGGAAGGAGTTCAGAAACCTGGAGGGACTGGAGACACTAGACTCTATGATAATAAGATGGTGAGTAGGAGGGTACGAGAGCTCTGTGCTCTTCTGTGACAGGCGCCAACCATACCACTGCAAGATACTATGAAAAATTGCTCAAGTTACTACTTTAGTGGAAGATCTAGAGTAGCTACAGGAAAAGCTACATGGCAAGGTCCAGCTGGTACAGAGAAAATACATGTTCAAGCACTAGGAATAACTATGGTGCCACGTCCAGAGTTGGTGGGAGGAAGGAGTTTTCTCTGGTTGACTTGCAGAAGACAATCTTTCTTCAAAGACAGGACCAGAGCATTCACTTCTCTACAAAGTTCTATTAGTCTTGATCTTGTCCCTACAAAGAAAATAATAATATTCACAGTGAGTTTATGAGAACAACCTCCTCTATTTTAACCAAGACTTACTCAGAGCATTTAATTATAGTGATAATTCAAAAACCTTTGCCTTATCTCAGAATTATTTCTACAGTTACTACAGAAAAAGAATTACCATTTAATTACTTACATATACTTTAAAACAGTTCTTCACTCTCAGTTAAAACCCTAATTAGAAATGGGGAGTGATTGCTAATGGGTATGAGGTTTCTTTTCGGGGAGATGAAAACATTCTAAAATTAGACAGTGAGGAGAGTTGCACAACTCTGTGAATATACTAAAAATCACTGAATTGTATACTTTAAAAGGGTAGATTTCATGGTATCTGAATTATATCTCAATAAAGCTGTTACTTAAAAAAGAGAATACATTTTCTCAATTTGTTCATCTAATAATATTAGAAATTAAGACTCATACTTAATTAGCCTATACCTGGTGAAATTTAAAATTGCCTTTAAAACAATATTCAATCAAAGTTACCTTTTTACAACCAAAATGAACCGTATTATTTATAAAGATGGCTTCTGTGCTACCCAAATTACTCCACCTATCAGAGCAATCATTTAAATTAACTGGCTACAATGATGCTCCACATGCTATTTAACATATATACAGCCTGAAAATGCAATAAAAAGAAATTGATCTAATCCAGGTATTTCAAGCTGAGTTAGCCTAATCTAGGCCAGGAATGGTGAGTGTATTTGAATGTGTGTGCACAAACCAGACTCCTCTAAATTTCATCATTTGAGATGAATGGCCAGCCCAGCAATATTGCATGGTCCATCATGACACTTCCACAGGAAAAAATGAACATCAGCATAGATACCTTCCATCTCACTTATCAGAAAAGACCAATGCTACTATTATGATAAAAAATTCCAAAGCTATATAAACTATATTTCCATGCAAGTACCTTTCTGTGGCATTATGTTAAGGATGGTAAGAATCAAGGTTTTCAGCATAAGAAGAAATACTTACCATTAAAATATATTAGGGAGAAACACTGCAATGTTAAAATAGACTAAAAATATCAATATGAACTTATGATTAAAAAACTATTTTTTATAGTACTGTTCAGAAAAAGGGTCTAGAAAAGGTATAGTGAGTACTCCCAACTCCTAGATTAGGTCTCTAATATTGATTAAAAAGAAATAGGACTCCTTGAGGAAAATGGCTGATTCTGGGACAGAGGCACAGAAGGTATAAGATGGGCCTAGGATATAGTCTTGGGCAAGAAAGCTTTCAAAGATGAATGGGGTTTTGTCAACCGAACACAGTGGATCTAGCCTGAAATAGTTCTCACCAGCCAAGGGTATGCCAATTTAAGTGCCAAAAAGGGTAATGACTGCTACATGCAATAACATGGATAAATCTCACAGAAAACCAGACACAAAAAGGGTATTCACTATATATTCCTTTTAAGTTCAAGAAGAGAAACTATTGTGAGAGGGTCAGAAAAATGGTTACATGCTGAAGTGGCGGAGGGAGAAGAGTCTGACTAGAAAGGGATCTTTTGGGATGCTGGAAACACAGATATAAAAATATGTCAAGCTGTAAAATTAAGATCTGTATACTTTATTACTATATGTACTTCTCACCTCGAAAAGTGGTAATCTGAAACGAATTCTCCCTTTACATTTAAAAGGAAAGACTTAACACTTATAAGGGAAACTATATTTCAAGAGATCTAAATGACTTTAGTTAATGAGGAAGAGTTTTACTTTGTAGGGGAATGTTAGCCAATAATAGTCAAGTAAGTGATTAACAAAAAACGAAAAAAGTCACATCATTTTACAAAAATACTAATAAAATTATTGATTCAGGTCAAAATGATCAATTGGGGTAAAACCACTGGGTGAACAGTCGATGGGTAAGTATACGAGGGGGGACTTGGTCCACTTGGTAAGTGTTCTAGGAATCCATCGGCATCAGTGTATCAGCTAGTATTGTTGTGAGATGCTGCATTCAGCTTCCGTGTTTTTTCTTTAGAGATTCAACATGTTTGCCCATTTCATGATGGGTGATTAACAAGTGCACCTACGTACATCGTGCTGAGTGTTTAGCAGTTTTTGACCAAAAATAGCATGACCCCCATGCCTCATCCTCCCTATTTACCCGATCTCGTCCCGAGTGACTTTTTTTGATTTCCCTGGATGAAAAAAGTTCTCAAAGGGCAATGTTTTGCTGATATGGAAAACGTGAAACAAAAAATGGCAGAAGCGGTAAAAGGTATCAAAATCGAGTTCAAAAACTGTTTTGAGCAGTGAAAAATAGGTATACTGGATCAAACAAAGAGTACTTTGAAGGTGACTGAAGTTTAAACAAGTAAGAATAAAACACAATTATTTATAAATAAATTCTGGGGTTTTTTTGGGGGTCTCTCTTCGTACATTCGTATAGTGTCAAAATAATACCACACAGATTACTTTCTAGTGAAAAAAATCACCATAGTATGAAAGGATCAGACAGTAATCACCTAAACTATGGTTAATCTTAACATCACTAATGGTGGATCAATGAGATATCATGGGTCTCATAGTGTAATCCTGCAACAGTGCTTACGGAGTACTGCAGCCAAAAAAATTTCTCCATTAGCCTTTAATCAACTTCCAGTTTACAGGAAATTCAGGGAATAGGGAACAAGCTAAATAACATTTCAAAGAAGAAATCCAACAAATCGAGGTGGGACATTTTGCAGGATAACTAACATGGTCTCTTAACAACATGTTCTAGATTTTAAAAAATTTGAGACTATCCAGATGTGTTATGTGGTCCTTTAATGGTTTAGACAAATCAGGGAAATTTTAATGAGATGAAAGTTTATTGACATGGAGAGGTAGGGATGGTTAAATGAAACAAAAGTAGGTTGTAAGACAGTATGAACAGTGTGATCTCACCTGGGGTGGGAAACATATAGCAAAATATCTGGAAGAACATACACAAAGCTGTAGCAGTAGCAATCTCTGGGTTGTGGGAATACAGTGGTTTCTCGTTTCTCTTTTGGGCTTATTTATGTTTTCTAATTTTTTACAATGTATATGTACTGCTTTTCTATTAACAAAATATTATTTTAAATTAGATTAAGAAGCAGAACCCTTACTGTTGCTAGTAAAGTTGGAGCTTAAGGTAGTTAAAAGGAAAAATATGGAAAATCAAAGACTGGATTATTTACCTTATTAGCATAAAATAGTGAAATTTTTATTCTGTGATTGATAATTATTTCCTTTTTTATTTATAAAATGTTTGACTGTGATAAACTATGTATAACATAGAACTTACCATCTTAACCATTGCTAAGTACACAGTTCAGTGGCATTAAATCAGTCACACCGTTGTGCAACCATCATCACCATCCACCTCCAGAACTTTTTCATCTTTCCAACCCAAAACTCTGTACCCATGAAGTAAAAAACAACTCCCCATTCCCTCTTCCCCCAGCCCCTAGCAGTCACCCTTCTACTATCTCTCAGTTTAACTACTCAAAGTTCCTCATTAAGTGGAATCATACAGTAGTTGGCCTTTTGTGTCTGGTTTATTTCCCTTAGCATAATGACATCAAGTTTAATTCATGTTGTAGCATATATCAGAATGCTCTTCCTTTTTAAGGCCAAATAATATCTCATTATATGAATATTCTGCATTTTGTTTAACATAATTGATATTTTAAACTAATTTTTTTCCATTTCAACCCATAACATTTCTGTAACATTCTTCTGTCAATCTCTAAGGATGATGGCAGGTTGCAAAGATAATTGCTAAATAAAATTCATAGCAGGCCAAACCCTTACTCACTGCTGTGAATACTTCTACAGTACAAGAATTTCTGGAACAGTGGACCTCTATTCAAACAGCTACTCTGGCTATACCATTCTTGCTATCCAGCTGCCTGAGATGAAAGTCTGCTCCAATCTTTCTCTCAGGATCACTTTGCTTTTTCAGTGATAAAACTGCAAAGAAAATTTGGCTGAAAGTATCAGTCAATCATCTAGCTGGTACATTCTGGGGACAAATCAGATACTTTATAATGGAAATCAAAGTGGTACATTACTGTTTAGCTTTGTATTTTGAAGCATCCCTGGGTTCACTACTGGGATTGCTCCAATCGTCAGCTTCAGGTGTGGTCTTGTAATGGCGCCATGCGGACTTATTAAAAACTGGAAGTCTCTCAAATGATTCACTTGAAAGAGCCTATGGAAAAACAAAAATATATACCAAAGGTCCATGGTGTCATTTCTCTCATGTGAAATACTAACTCAAATTTTACTATTTAAAACATCAGAAGCCTTAAACACCTATTTTTGAAATTATATGAAAATTACATTTTAGTAGTTTACTTAGACTGGCCAGGAAAAAAATTATAGCTTTTTTAAAGGAATGAAAACATTTGCTCATTCAAAACCAGTGCTGACGTACACATTTTAATTCAGTTAATACTGCTTTGAGATGCTCGACTGTTTTGACTATATGTTCTTAAACCAAGCACTATTGTTCACTGGGTAACTGCTCTCTCAAAGGGCCCAGGAAAGAATAAAATCTCATATAAACCAGTTTATGAACATACACTATCAAGTGATGTCCAGTGTCATATCATAGATGCATTGGCATCTAAGATACTAAATCCTCCAAATATCTAGTTAAACTATTGTGTCACACATACAGGTTGAGCATCTCTTATTGAAACTGCTTGGGATCAGAAGTGTTTCTGATTGTAGAATATTTGCATTATACTTGCCAATTGAGCATTCCTAATCTGAAAATCTGAAATCTGAAATGCTCCAATGAGCACTTCCTTCGAGCATCACGTTGGCACTCAACAAGTTTCCAGGTTTTGGAGCATTTGGGATTAGGGATGCTCAATCTACAGTAGCATGTTATGCCTGTTCAAAAGAATGAGCCAGTTATATATGAACAGATGCAGAAAGACTGCCAAGATATATTTTTAAAATATGTTTATAAATGCAGAATCAACTCTAGGAAGATCAATTAGAAACTAGGTTCTGTAGTTACCTCTGGGGAAAAGAACTGGTAGTCTAGGGCCAGTGGTAGTTTTCCCTTTTGTGCCTTTTAAATTTTTATTATGTGCCCATATTACCTACTCAAAAAATGCTCCAAATAGTCTAAAGTTTAGAAATAAAAATCTACCATCACCAATGAATGATAAAAACTGTTTTACAGAGAACTCTGTTATTAGATCAACCTTTTATAAAATCAAATTATGATTACTGAATTCTTGTAACTTTGGGAAAGCCAGCGAGTTTGTTTTGTTTTGAGTCAGAGCCTCACTCTGTCACCCAGGCTGGAATGCAGTGGCACGATCACGGCCACTGCAGCCTCGACCTGCTGGGCTCAGATGACCCTTCCACCACAGCCTTCCAAGTAGCTGGAACTACAGGCACGTGCCACCACATCCAGCTAATTTTAAAAAATTTATTATAGAGATGTGGTCTTGTCAAGTTGCCTAGGCTGCTCTTGAACCCATGGGCTCAGGCAAAACTCTCACCTTGGCCTCTCAAAGTGCTGGGACTATAGGCGTGAGCCACCGCGCCTGGCCACCAGTGAGTTTTTAAAACAGAAGACTAAAAGACACCAGTTTATGAAAACCTCCTTTTAGATTTTACCTTTCACTGGACATGACATTTTAAAAATCACAATTTAGAATTATGGTTTTAAAAATCAGTATTTTAATTTTTGTGTGTGTGTGAGTCAGGGTCTCACTCACTCTGACACCCAGGCTGGAGTGCAATGGCATGATCACGGCTCACCACAGCTTCAACCTCCCAGGCTCAGGTAATTCTTCCACCTCAGCCTCCCGAGTAGCTGAAACTACAAGTGTGCCCCACCATGCCTGGCTAATTTTTCTGATTTTTTTTTTAGAGATGAGGTCTCACTATGTTGCCCAGGCTGGTCTCAAACTCCTGGCCACAAGCAATCCTCCTGCCTTAGCTTCCCAAAGTGGACCACTCACTATGCCTGGCTAATTTTTATGTCTCCCTGTTTCATATTTTGCTATAGCTGAGCATAAAATCGAGGGTGAGGCATAACACGGGTTTCACATGAAACTGAAGTAAAGTTGAGCTGAATTTAAGAAATCATAGTGTTATTATTAAATAGTGATTATAACTTATAGCTTTAAAAAGCAAAGATGCATTCATCCTAACAGAAATAAAATGCAATACCTTCAAATAAATGACAGCATCCGTACCCACTCCTTCCATGGAATACAGCTTTAGATCTCCCTGAAAGTATCTAGCATACAGACGAGAAATTGGCAAACCATAACCAAATCCAGCCTATTGAGAAAAAAAAATTAATACAGTGAGACAGGCACAAATGTTAACACATTTCGCACGAGGATCATTCAGAGAAGATAAATTATTGATTCATATTTAAATAAAATAAATTACTGATTCAACCTTTACAATGATATATATGCTCATCTATGACAAATGATCTCTTTATTTTCACCCTGCAAAAACACTTCCTGTATGTTGGGTAATAACAGAAATATTCCAGGTTTTGACTATGCCTTTTCAGCGTTTTAAAGCAAAGTTTTAGTACTTTTTTTAAAAAGTTAAGTCCCAAATCAAGTGAAATTTTGTGTGATTAAAAAAATCCACATTGGCCGGGCTCAGTGGCTTAGCCTGTAATTCCAGCACTTTGGGAGGCCGAGGCAAGTGGATTGCCTGAACCTGTGGGTTTGAGACCCACCCAGGCAACTTGGTGAGACCTCGTCTCTACAATAAATCAAAAATTAGCCAGGCGTGGTAGCCTGCGCCCATAGTTCCAGCTACTTGGAAGGCTGAGGAGGAAGGATCCCTGGAGCCCAGCAGGGTAAGGCCATGGTGGCCGTGAGCGTGCCACTGCACTCTAGCCTGGGCGCCAGAGTGAGACTCTAACTCAAAAAAAAAAAAAATCCACATCATTTCAAAGTTCCATTATCAGCTTTCTTTCCTCTTTGAAGTAAAAATTAATAGTACTATGCAGAGTTCAAATCTACCAGTAACAAGGTTAAAATATTGAAAACAATTTTCTTAGATGCTAAGATATTTTGATATATTGTAGTTCATATATTTTTAAAGACAAAAGATGTCAGTACCTATCTATATCTCTATGTCATAGAACCCTGACTATCAATAGTAGGTTTTTTTTAAGGTCTCAGATATGGGCAAGAATAATAAGAATTGAGACTAAATTCAGTAACTTTTGTGGTGGTAATGGGGGTGAGGGGGAGAGAAGATGCCGTGGCCTTGTCATTTCTGCTTAAATCTATGAGTAAGGTCAAGGAAGGCAGGCACAGAGGTCATGTGCATATAGAGCTATGTGGGCCTCACACTCAGACCCAAGTTCAACTCTACTTTTTTTGTGACTCTGAACAGTTTGCTTAACTTCTCTGAGGCTATTTTCTCATCTGAACATGGAATACAAAGCTTAGCTCAGAGCTGCTAATGAGGATTAAGTGATATAATAAGTGTAAAGTCATGGTCTAGTGTCTAACACATAGTTACACTAAATAAAGGGAAGCTGGTATTATGGCTACTAAGAGTAGCAATTTTACCAAGTTACATGGATTTCTGCCATTTTCTAATATCTCTCTCCTTGATGGGCCTAAGTGAAAGGGCAGGGGGTGACAGAACGCATCCCGTCATTTGATGCCTGTAGGACTGGCTGAATAAGGCCAGTAGTGAAGATGAGGTATCCAGTGTAGTGACTGAGGCAACCACAGCAAAGAAACCAGTGTATTCTAGGAAGAGTGCAAAGAAATCTGCCTTCTGTGTTCAAGCAAGGCCCAGAACTTGCCCTTATGCCCAACCAAGAACAGTGGAGAACTCCAAGGTCAATAAAGTTATAAGCATGAAGCGGCAGGTAAGCCCAGACTCCCATGGCATGCAGAGAAAAGGCCTTGATCTTGGATTGGTGACGCTCAGGAAAAGTTTCTCAGAGTCCAAGGATCAGTAGGAATTAGCTGGGTGCATACTCTCGAGAAAGAAATGTACGTGTCAAGGCACAGAGGTGTAAAACCATAAGTCATTCAGTGAGGAAATTATATTTTGTACTAGCACTTATCCATGGGCCCACCTTAAAGCAAAGGACAGTTTCTGAATGAGGAGAGCTGCTAGTGGAAGCATTTCTTCAAAAGGAGAGTATACATGGTACACTGGAAAGAACACAGACTCAGCTGGTACCAGCTCTGCTATTAATTATCTCAATGACCTTGAGCAAAGTCATTCCCTCATGTCTTCATCTATATAATGGGAGGGTACATGTATAATTTTAAAGCCTCCTTAAAATTTCTTAGTTTCATTTTTTAAAAACCTATGACATAACAGTTATCCTTAAGATGCTATTTTAATACCTGGCAGAGACCATCTGTATTCCTTTTAGCCAATTGGGGAAGGTGCTAGATTTGTTTGTAGTGCCTTTTTTCTCTCTTTCTCTTTTTTGAGTCAGGGTCTCACTCTGTCATCCACGTTGGAGTACAGTGACATGATCATGGGTCACTGCATTCTCGACCTCCTGGGCTCAGAAGATCCTCCTGCCTCAGTCTCCTGAGTGGCTAGGACTACGGGTGTGCCCCACTACATCTGGCTAATTTTTTTATTTTTTTGTAGAGACAAGGTCTTGCTATGTTGCCCAGGCTGGTCTCAAACTCCTGGGCTCAAGCAATCCTCCTGCCTTGGCCTCCCGAAGTACAGGGATTACAGGTGTGAGCCACAGTGCCAGGTCTCTTTTTTCCTTTGATGTATACTAGAGCCTAGTCAAGGCAATGCCTTTCTAATTTGAATCTTTCACAAATTTTCTTGAATCCTATATAAATGACTTCCTCTCTGTTTTCAACATGCTGAGTTAACAAACTCTGTCTCAAATAAACGATACAAAGTGTTTGATTTTATTCATACAAATAAAATATAATCTTATGTGCTTATCAGTCAGGTGGGACTTTAAAATGAAACTTAATTTATACCCTGAACCATTTTGCAGACTGATAGATATGTTGCTGTGTTTAATGACAAAGGGTTCAATTGTTGTTTGTCAATTAGAAACACTCAGCAGGGGAAGAAAGTGTGGTCCTACCAGGATCTAAATGCTACCATGGTAACTAGAGGCTTTTCTGACTGCCTTAATAGGGCTGAAGGTTATTTCCAGAGTGAGACAGAAAGGGCTCTGAAAATGCATACATCATGTATACGCTTCATGCTAACGGTATTTAATATAAAAATTTAATGTTTTCATAATTTAACATCTTGATTATATAAACAAATTTGATGGTGGAGATTCCAAGGTGTCAGGTGATTAGGGCCGCTATGGTATGCAACACGCAAGTGTGCAGGACCAAGCTGCAGTTCTACATCCTGTGCTGTCTCTTCACTCCTGCTGGTAACTTCCACGCCCTTCAAGGGTAGCACTAGGTGGTAAATGGTGCGCTGACAGCAGTCTTGCCACAATGAGATGCTTTTGCTCTGGATTTGGGAGTGAGGCACTCAGCTCAGAGTGTTTCTCAGACACAAATCAGAGAAGAAATCTAACTCCAAAGAATTCACAAAGAAAGTAGTTGAGGTGAAAAATTACCCCCTCCTCCAAACCACATAGGAAGCATTCTAAATCAACGAGGCTAATGCAACAACCTAGGGAGATAGGCAGCTCTCTCCAAGTCCCTTCCCATGTCAGTGATCTTTCCTCCAGCAGCAGGCTAAGATACTTACCAAAGGGGCAGCTCTTGTAGGCTCCAGGCTAGGTCTAGGAGCAGTTGAATACATGTAGTTAAAAAGACGATCTATTTTTCGAAGTGGGACACCACCACCTTGGTCACTTATCTGCAATGTTCAAAATGTTAAAATCAAAACAAAGGAGTCAATCTACACTTAGTAGGAGACAATGAGTCTATTAAATAAAGTACATACCAGATTAAAACATACAAGGGCTCTGAACCCTCAATGAAATATAGTCTCTCTATGAACAGTGTAAAATAAAAAAGAGAGGGCAGTATGGTAGGATCTGACAGGCTAAGGGAGGAGGTCTTCCTCAGCTCCCTGACTAACAAACAAGGCTCTAATGAAGTTTAGATGAGATAACTTAAGCCAAGGATCTAGCACAGTATAAATATGTACAAATATGACACTCAATAAATACCAGTTTTGTTCCCTTTGATTTCTCAATGTCTAGATTCTATTGAATTAACTGATAAGCATACATCCACATAAAGCAGTTACCTTAATGGATAAGTCTTCTTTACCCAAAGTAACGAGGGTTTTAACAGCAGGGTAGCCTTCTTTTCTGTCTTCATAGAGTTCAACTGTTGCTCTCATTGAGTTCTAAAATAAAACCTTTTGTTTAACAGTACCACTGACTCACAAACCACACTTTTAAAATGATAACAAGAACAAGATTACTTATATCCAACAAGTCTTTTGTAGGGCAAATATTAGTTGGATTTACATGGCGTTTTTTCCTCTAAAGAGCTTAGCTAAACATGTGTTCAGATCAAGAAAAAATTTTCTGGCACTTTGTTTTTCATCTAGTTTTAGACCTATCCAACATACTAAATATTTATTTTTCTTTCTTTCTTTCTTTCTTTTTGTTTTGTTTTTGCTTTAGGGTATCTAAATTATTCAAATCAACCCAGAGGAATGTTTTCATCACATGTAATGAGGCTGTGCAGAGCCTTGGATTTGTGCACTTTAAATCCCATTTATCAGTTTGTATTTATAGAGCACCTTTTCTCTAAAGAAGGCAGAAAAATTGAAAGGATTCATGCTTCCCACAAAAATTAATCATTTGGTTTAAAAAAAAAGTATAAGAAATATCAGTTAAAAAGAAATTCTGAAAAAGCCACAGCTGTTGAAGAGAAAGTTCACAATTGAATGCCCATCTCAACCTTAAAGTGTTACATCAGTAACATTCTAATTTTTTGAAGCAAATCAGCATAACTGATTTTTTCAGGTGTTCAATTTAGTGTTTTGCACATTGGAAGAAGTGAAATTTTAGCTCAAATGCTCTTGTAACTATAATACTGCTACTATAAATGCCGTTAGCTACTCGTTAACAGAAGCAGCACCTAAACTGTAGAGTCTAAAGAGATTCGATGTTTTGGGTTTTTTTTTTTTTTTGTCTAGTCCATCCACATCTTTCCCTCTGCCTCTCTCAGATCTTCTGAATTGATTCAAATATGTAAAAGGGTTACAGGATCTCTCAGGACTGGAATGACTACTAATGCACCAACATGGTTAATGCTCAGAAGCATAAGTATGCATAAACATGTTTTTACTTTGATCTGGCTACCACCAATAAAGCCTTTGCCAGGTTTGGAAACTAAAAAGCATCTCTAATCTCATAAGTGAAGAAAAACCAGTATAAATTTTACATAAAATCACTAAAGTGCAATTAAGTTTCAAAATCAATATGTACTAATATTCACAAAAACTATACTGTACACAGCAATTTTTCATCTCACAGTGTACAAATTATAAAACCCACAGGATATCAGAAATAGAATTTTTAAAATGGTTATGCAAAACCTTTTTCTTATGCTAATCTAATGAATCCATTATGCCCTGAATCAAAGTAATTTAAAATGAAGACTTCTTTCCATGTTTTTAAATTCCACTTACCTTGAACAACTCAAATAGCATGTGAAACAGATGTGAGGGCACATAAACTACCTGAATTGGTTTGTCTGGTGCTTTGGCTGAAAACAGAGACAAAACCACCAATGAATAAGGACCCAAACTAGAAGAAAGTAAAAAAATGATGTTTTCATTCTATTTTCCAAGAACACTATAAAAGCCCAATTTGAGTTTCTACCTCTAAAGGCAGGACTGAACAAAAGCATCCGCTTTGGAATCAAACATGGGGGGAAACTCAGTTCTTTTATTTACTAGCTACGTGACCTAGGGCAAATGACTCAATCTCTTTGAAACTTAGTTGAACAGAATTGGAACACTTTCACCTATGTCATAACATCCTAAGCATTACATAAATCCATCCAAATAACACTTGGTATTTGTTAAATTGGAGGACACCCTCACCACTGTCCCCAGTGGTTAGCTAGGGGAACGTTGGAGCCACAGGAGAAAAAGGGCTGGTGAGCTGGACTTAGCAGCAGTGTTAAATCATGTGAAATTATAACAAACAAGGCATATTAAAAAGTAGAATGTAAGGTTCATATAGCTTTTTCTACTAGCACCTAGCAGATAAACCCTCAGAGACCTACAGTCTTTTTTTCTCTTTGTGTCAGGGATCGTCTGAGGAAAATCTGAGAAACAGAATCCCATGTCAAGCACTAAGAACAGCATGGGATAGAGAGTAGATGCTCAAAAATTTAGTCCACCCTCCTCCTCATGACCCCAAATCACTTAAGAGACTGAAACCACCTATAGATGAACTTTCTCAGGTAGACTGTAGACATGCTCACCCATGCTATAAATTCAACCAACCTAATTTCCTCTAATAAAGTAAATAATTAACAACCATATAAATTAGAGTCCACATTTGTTTGATTCCCAGCAGTTTACAAAGTACTTTCACATACATTATTCAATTGACTCCTCCTAACAATACATTGTGGCTCCTAGGGTGGATGGCATTATTTAGAGGTAAGAAAATAGGCTCTGGAGAGCCGATGTCACTTGCCAGCAGTACCAGAAGTGGTGCTGAAACTGGACACCTGAACCAAGAGCTTTTGATTCTAAATCCTGGACCCTCTGATGAGCAAATATTCTTGAAAATTAGTTAGTAATATATAAAATGACTTAAACATTTGACAAAAGAAGAAGAAAAGCAAAAGCCCCTCCTCCCTTCCCATCTCACCTCTCAGTTCATATCCAGAGGCAGTCACCTTTTACTATTTCTGTAGTCTTTTGGGTGAAAATATTTATATTCTGTTCTGTAACTCTAATGAACTATTCTATACATTGCCTATAGGTTCTTTTCAGAAAGGTGAAACTCAATAGTGTTGACAACATTGTAATTATGTAAATTCTGATCACTGTAGAGCAGCCACAGCAGTGTACTTGGACAACATTTCATGTCACTTGGAGGAGAAGGTTCTCAGCCTTAAGGTGAAATGGATTCTCTTTATACTGCTTCAGCTGCTCAAAATCATGCTACCCTTTTGGGGTTGGTTCATATTTGTCTCCCTTAGTTTTGTATTTTTTTCCTGGAGTTTCTAACTACCTCTCCTCTTGGGTAACTGGACAAGAAACATGGTTTCCTCACCATATCACTAAGACCTTCCAGCTTCTTATTGTATTGCATGGTATCCATTCTATTTTTTAGAATTTTTCATGTTAGAATCAACTGCTTTCCAAATGTGATGCCACAGCCATCAAGATAAAATTGTTTTTGACTGAAGTTCTAGAATGTTTTCCTCTATTCCTCATATCCATATTATACACACCATCAAGTCAGTCAGGTAACCTACTTAGAGAGGTAAGCACGGGAGATACATCTGTCAATCCTGACACCTTTGATTCACTCGATTAAAAGTTTGGCTAGGTACAGAATTCTGGGTTTGAAATCATTTTCTCTCAGAATTTCAAAGGGGAAGGTCTTCTGGCAATAACAGTATAGCTGATAACTTTAATGCCAATTAGGTTTTGTCCATGCTGCTGGCTTTTGCCCAAAGTCTGATATTCCTTGACTGCAACATTTCTGTTTGAGAATGAAGAATCAGATTCATCACTCGAGGTAGCTGGTGTTCATTTCTCCCTGGGGCTCTTCCCTAGGTGGGGAGGATGACTTGGAGTTCTGTGGACCTGGTCAAGACTTCCCAACTGGCTTTAGGATGAGCAGGTAGTAAACTGGCCTCTGACCAAGAGAGGCCCCCAAATGTTCAAATGAAGAGGGCTTTACTTTGGGGTAACAACACTTATATACATAGCCCCAGTTCCCAGGTTGTACTTGAAAAAAATACTCTTATTTGGCTGTCAGTAGGCAGAGCTCAGCCAGAGTTCCAGCTGCTCCCTGTCATCCCTCCACGCAATTTCTTTGACCAGCTCTCAGTTTACCCATACCCTTTGGTTTTCCCCTTCCCATTCCAGTTCTTCACACCACCTGGCCCTGCTCCCGAGTCCCCTCAGGATACCCTTTGATAAACTAGTTGCTATCTCTGCTGTGACCTCCTCTTTTGTGGCTGCTTCTCCTCTGTCCCATCAATCAGCATACTTTCATCTGGTGACCCTCTTTCAAAAGCTGGGATTAGTGGTTGTTACAGATTGAATATTTGTGGCCTTTTCCCAAGTTCATATGTTGACAGTGTATATATGGTGCTTGCATTTTATGTATATGGCATATGTGTGGTGTACATATTGGACACATCTCACAAATATGAAAGATAGACAGACATTGCCCATTCAGGATAGATAGTACCATGATCTTGGACTTCTCAGCCTCCAAAACCATGGAGAAATAAATGTTTGTTGTTTAAGCCACTCAGTCTCTCATAATTTTGCTACAGAAGCCCCAATGGGCTAAGACAGTGGACCATGAAGGAGCTTCCATGGTCTCCTTTGTTGTTTTTCTTTGGATTCCTTTACTGTCACTTTAGTGGGTCCTGAGGAACAAGCCAAGTGCTCAGTTTATCTTGTACCAAAAGGCTTGATTAGTTATACAAAGAGCCGCCTGAATTCAAACTTTTCACTCCAAATTTCAAGAAAATAAAAACACCTTTCACAGTGTTATTTTTTCCAGTTCAAACAGCATTCTCCAAGAGCCATCTAAAGCCTTGCTCAATTACTTGCACTTTTTCTTGGGAACATTATAGTTTAGATTTCTTTCCTTCCTTTTAAAACAACATCAAATGTGTTTGTGACATTTCCCTAATCTTGGGTCTAGTGCGTGTTAAGTAGTGGACACTTAATAGATGTTTGTTGACTTTCTAAAGTAAGATACAAACAGACATGAATTTTCCATCTAAGGGTACACTTTTAAAAATCAATGAAAAAAAGGGTCCAGGGTTGTCATGCTCAAGATTCAAGAAATAATAAAGTCTCTATTTTGCACAGTCATTGCTTCAAATGCCATTAGTTGAAATAGCACTTAATAAAGACCAACAGAACTCTACATAGACATAAGGAGTTTTATTTTCAGATAGTTCTCCTACAAGAATGAAAAAAGCATCCACTTAAGATGTCCAGGACCAACCTCTCATCTGCATCTCCAGCATGGAACTTGTTATGGCTAAAGGTCATTCTTTAATCATGCTCACAAAGAATACTGGCATTTAAGAAATCATAAATATAAATTATAACTATATTATTCAAAGCAACATAAAACTAGAGGCTATCTATAACCACCAGCATTCATTTATCTTACTGATGGGAAAAGGGGCTTCAAAATATGATAGAAAGGAGGCTTATATAATTCATGAGATGGTGTCACACAGTCGTAAAGCTCCTCACACTGGGTGTGCTGCCCAGCATGACAGCCTTGGCAGGGAAGGAATGTGCTGACATGCCTGGCACTTGGGAATCAGCAAGAACTGGCTCGCTTCTCTGGCCTCTGGAATGAGGGAGGCGGCCACTCATGCAAAAGAGCAACTTGTTACTACCTGTGGATTTAAGTTCCATTATTTGACAAATATAAAGCTGAACAGTTAGGTCAGGTCCCGCCTAGCCAGTAGGAAGAAGTAGAGAAAATATCAAGATGCTTCTAATCAGGAGTACTCAAGCCAAGCCAAGCACACTCAGTTCTGGCCATGTAGTTATTTAAAATGGGGGCACAGCTCTTCTCAGAGAACCCAAAAGACTTTGAAAGCAGCTGTGACTTCATACTTTCTACCACAGGGGCGATTGTCCTTCAACAGCAGCCTGAAGTCCTTTCACAAACTGGGCTCAATGGCTCAGCCTATAATCCCACACCTTGGGAGGCTGAGGTGAGTGGATTGCCTGAGCCTGCGGGTTCAAGACCCACCCGGGCAACTTGGCGAGAC